CAGTGGATTTAATAAATTACGTCCACAGAAGCAACTGCAGCTATGCTAGTTTATATGTATGGAAGTCGGTAACCTTCAGGTGAATGAATATTTTTCCCCTACAAGTTATTCCTAAGAAAAGAAGGTATTTCCCCTTGGAAAAATGTGTGAGGGGGAATATCTGCTTAGTCTTGCATTGGATAGATTTTCCTTCCTTTAGAAGAAATAACCTTTAAATGATGGTGACAAAGTTTTCTTTGTTAAAGGGAATACGGGAGAAGGGGTTGCTTTGAAGTGACACATTATTTAACATGTTTCCAGGAAAGCAATTTTGAGAATGTTAATGAAAGCTTATTATTATACAGCTATTACTAAATTAAAAGGAAGCAACTGTAAAGCTCAGAAAAACTTGGAAAATTTTAAAGTACATAGGAGACAGCTTCTTGAACAGTCTGAAAGCAGCCGGGTTCCGAGATGGACCTCATACGCTGTACAAGGGGACCATATAAGCTAGTACACCACCAGTCTGAAAAAATATCCGTCTGAAAAATACTCTTATTCTTACTTAAGAGCACCCTTACTTTTAAGAATTGTATTCAAACACAATGCTTCACACACCCAGAGCTATTTTATACTGTAGTATAATAGCTATTATACTATACTATTATACTATATACAAGAAATTGAGCAGGTGAAAGGATCAGGCCACTTCAATAAGGTTAAGGAGCACAGAAAGGACAGCCTAGAAGCACAGAGTGACTCTGATACACCTACACTGCCTAGCTGCCCAACTCAGGCCAAAAACCTGATTACAAAAGGTGCTGTACAAAGACAAACCCCCAAAATTGGTTCCTGGTCATGAGAACTTTTTAATCTAAGAAAAGGGATAACATTGGGCTGGCAAAAGGCAGGGCAACATTGATAGAAAACCATCTCAGCTTCTAATTCTGGTTAGGATTCAGAGGCATCAAGGCCTCGTAAAGTTTTATAGAAGCATTTAGAAGGACTGAAGTTGTGAAGATGTTTACAGGGAGCTGCTCCACAGGAGGGGAAAAAAAAAGCAACAGCATGCTTGATTTGCAAGAGAAGCTGATCAGAAGCATAAATCAACCATTTGATAGGGAAAAAGAGGAAACAGATTAAAGCTGAGAGAGTCTTGAACGTGCAGACATACATTTCTCGGATAAAGGAAGGAGGTAAAATAATGAAAGGCACAGGCTAGGAAAATGATCTTTTAGGGAGCACATTTTGAAAAGATACAAAATTGCATTAGTAAAGATCAAATAAAAGGATGTGCCATTAACCAAAACATATGTTGAGAATTTTAAGAATTTTACCTTGCAAATATACTGAAAAAAAATCGTACCTTCAGAAAACAAAGACATAGCATCCGCAACTGAATATGGCTCACTGTTGAAGAAGACTCTTTGCCCAAACCATCCAAAAGTAGCTGAGGATTCTCCTTTGGGACCAGGAGTAGGTCCGTGCCCTTGACCTCATGCTCCCCACCGGACAGCTTTAGCCAGCCCAAAAAGACACGCTCTTGATGCAGAACAGTTTATGTCTTCAAAATTAGAAAAAACTGGTGAAGAACAGTCATTACCATTACTATTTCTGTTGCAAGACGCTATATTTTCCACAAACTCTGACCAATGCAACACGCTTCATTGCATCGTATCAGTTTGTGTGTAGTGAGGATGTGACACGTTCTTGGCCCGTACAGAGCAAGCTGTTGAATTTCCTTTCACTGTGACAGTTTATAACAGTAACTCTTACTTTTTGCTCTGAAGATACAAATATTTTAATGATTTAAGATAACTTCTAGCTAGATGGTCTCGATACACTTACCTTGAAGTAAAATAGTGACGCAAATTCGCTCGGTAATAGTCTACCTGCTCTTTAGAAAAATGTGATTAAATTATCGTCATGGACTGAATAAAGTAGATCGCCCACAGCCATACAAAGAGTTATTTGTAGCCTTTGATTTGCTGTCTTACATTTCTGAGAAGATAAGTGTTCTGCCTTTGGAGTGTCTCATCCACAAGCTGACGTTACTTACAGAAACAATAGACTATTAAAAATACATATAGCTCTTACCTAAAAGTCTCTTTGTAGAAGACGATCTTTCTTCTTTCTCTATCGAGTTCATCTGCTCTTAAGATAAAAATTTCTGGACCACCCCTGCCCACGAGGTCTACTTGGTATGATATGGTAAAGCCATGATTTATCATGAACCTCAAGATGCATTAGTTCGGTGGGGAGTTGTCTTCTGAGTCCTAACTTCTAGAGTTGAGAGAAATTTGCTTTGTTTGTTTTTTAAAGAAGATATTTATAGCCTGTATGGCTGTAGGGAAGACAACCTGAGTGAATATTGAACAGACAAAACCTACTGAATTAAAAAACTGAAACGGAAAGGCATTCTCCAGAACCGGATGACTTCTGAATGTTTGGCACTGGTGGCACTATTGATATTACACAGACATGATCTGCAGAAGCTCTTTCAAATTTAGGGTACTTATCGTCAGCCATACTAATTTTCTACATCAGATTACAGAGTAAGGCGTGCACAGGTATGACAGAGTATAAACATTAACACCTCCAAGGGCTTAAAGATAATCGTAAAGTGAAACGGTCACCAAGGAGTAGTTGGGAACAACGGATGAGTGTTTGGAGAAAACTGTGAACTATTTTCTTGGCTATGGGTATTCCCTACTCTCGGTTCCAACCGCTATAGTGTTCTGTACAACCACATATAGAAAAGCAGGACTTGCATGGTGGCTAAGGCAATTTCCTCTCAGAGAAGCAGAGGTTTGCCAAATCACACAAACAGCTAAACAGTTTTACTTATTTTTATCTGTATTTGCTCTTAGCACATAATTAATCCTATTTTCAAAATGCATGTTAATTTTGAATAAGATTCCACATGCGGATTGTTAGGGAGGTATTCAGAGCATAATCGTGCTCTTCCACACTGAAAAAGGAGTCAGCTGCGGGATGAGGATTCACATTCTAACCATCGAGAGCTCACGTCTCAGCCCCAGCTGTGCCAGGAGCTAGAGATGCCAACCAAGGACCGAAGAGAATTTTGTTGTGGAGAATGAGAGAAGGAGACCTGGGGAAGGGAGGGAAGAAGAAAAGCCCAAAGAACTCTTTCAGGTATATGCAAATGCTGTATACGTGTACCTCCCTTGCCACTTACAAAAACATACACATTTTCTTTTTTTTTTTTTTCTGATTGACAAGCTGGAAGTATATACTGAAAGGATATATTTTAAAAAAAACCCTGAAAATCTAAAGAAGATCCTTCATTTTTAATATTGAAACAAGGACAAGTAGATTATTGGCAAACTGAAAGGAATTTTGCTTTGATACTGCAGGGGACTGCAAATGTAACTCAGTTCCAGAGATCCGAGTACCTAGGTTTATGTTCTCAAACATCACACCTACAAGAGGTCACGATTAAAATGTAAGTTATGTTTCTTAGGCAGGCAATAAGGCCAGTTAAAAGTGCTATTCCTATATGCAAGGTGATTTATTATCAACTTAAGCAGTGAGCAATCATATAAGCTGAGACCAAGATAATAAAGTTCATCCAGAGGCTGAGAAATTTGCAGTGATTTACATTTGCTTGAGAAGACATGGATACTGGCAATTTGAACTGACTGCTGTTCAAAAGTGGGAATGAAGGTAAGCTCAATCTCTTTTGCTTATCAGGTAGTGCTAGCTACAGCAGACCTTTGAAGAATCCTCCCCTTACAGGTCTTTCAGCTTTTACCATTAAGAGATCATTCGGATAAGGAAATGAGATCACCCTGAGCTGGAACTCACAGTAGTAAGACGATTCTCTAAAACATCCCTTAGATGCATTTTCAGAAGTCCATAAAACCAACTCGTATCTTTTCCCCATCTTTGGAAAGAGGGTATTGTGTTTACTGGCAAGAACTTGACAGGTTTGATTTAAATCATGAAATGCACATCAAGCCTGACATGACATCAATTCAAAGTCTACGGCATCCAGAATCATATAGAACACGCTTGCCTGGTATCTGAAACCGTAACATCTTCATAGCTGACTCTAAGGTTCATACAGAACATTATGAAAACTTGTCATCCAGGAAGATTTTTTTTTTTTTAATAGAAACCATGAAACAATTCTGTTTTCATTTAAAAATTGCTTAGCTAGAAAACTCAGAGGGAATGAAACCTTTTTCATAATAAAATTAAAATATAAATTAGTAATTATTGTTTTATCTTTAACAGATAAACTAGTCACTATGAAATTGATGTAAGCCACAGCAGCCTCACATGGATAATTATACTTTTATTGATCCATTAAACCCACAGTATTTCAATAACATATTCAAAAGGTTATTATTTACTCTGTAATCATTAGCTTAGCTTAGCATAGCACATATATAGCAAAAGTAAATGAAACCTCAGTTAACTGCTTAGGAAGAGAGATGAAGAAAGCAATAGTAATACATCCAATAAATTAACCTGTTCCATGTTAAGTTCAGAAGTACTGTAGCTTGTTGAAGCTCCTTACTGATGGGGAGCGGTGGTCACAGGGAGACAAAGGTCTCCTGTCGAACAGTTGCAGGATACCAAGGAAAGACATCCACACAAGCTCGACTGAAAGAATCGGTACCCACGTGCACATCGGTACCCACAGAAATCTGCTGTATCCTCAGTAAAATAACCCCCCTTCAAACAACCCTGCGTACCACTTAACTGCATAAAATAAGCCTTCTCGGGTACCTAACTCTTGCGTTATGTCTGAGTTGGAAAGAATCACTTATGTGCCTACCTCAGACTCACCATCGGCCAGCAGAGGCTGACACACAGCAGCGTTGTGTGTCCCCTCCTGGATGGCCGCGCAACGCTTACAGATGTGGGAGAAGGGCGGTCTATAAAAATGTATAGTATAACTACTCTCATTAATCTTAGAAAACACCCACACGCTGAAATATTAGTCTCATTTTAGCATCAAAAATTAGAAGTAATTTGCTAATTCGTATGCCATCCATACAGTGTGGTTTTTTAACACGTGGAAGAAAGCCAAACCACCCCCAGAGGTAAATGAAGGCGGGTGATGTGTGGAGAAACCGCGCTACTTATCACTGACAGCACGTGGTGGAAGTATTCAAAAGCACTTGCGATGGACAATAGAGGGGCCAGCTTCCTCATATTCATCTTTACTGATCCACATTTGCTGAAAAGTGGACAGAGATGCCAATATTGAGCCCCCAATCCAGACAGAGTATTTACGTTCTGGTGGTGCAATCATCTAGAAGAGAAGTGCAATCTGTTGTAAATAAAGCGACAAGCAGGTAACACAGTAAACGTCTCTTTGGATGAAATAACTAGGTGAAAGTCTTTTCATCACAGAAGCACAACTCCAATGAAGTAAAGCACCTAAGAGGTAGAAAGGCTGCCATATTTTGTCTTCCACCTCAAGTCGGTAGAGATGCTGTAATGTTACTATGAGCAGACAAATATGGCAGCCCATGGGGTATCTGCAGATGGCCCATAACACAGCTACCAAAAAATTTTAAACATATATGAAAGGAAATGGAATTTTTGAAATATTAATTCGGTTGTAGATGAAGACCACTGGGACAACACTACACAGAATGATCTGAGCAATTTTTTTAAGGATAAAGGAATTCTTTTATGTTAAAAAAAAAAAAACAAAACCCAACCCAAAATGTTGAGATACACTGGCATTGTGTATCTAGCCAAGCACTAGATGTCGAGCGAGAAGACCTCCTACCGATACCCCTCTTGGCCACTGAAATGTTAAAATACACTGGATGCACCCCTGCTTCCGCGTGCTCCCGTTTCCGTTCCCACCACTCGTGTCATGCCGTCTGCTGCCCGATAAAAAGGGCCTCTCTATTTCACTGTACGTTGTCTTGAGTCCAAGCCAAAAGGGTCCTTTCAAACAGCTAACAAGCTGCAGACTTTGCATGCTGCTTGGATTTTGGATTTATTCTTTCACCCTTTTCACTAATGACTTTCACTGATAGCTTGAAGCTATGAAATTCCCAGTATCTTCTCAAGTTGTTCATGCCCCCTTTAGTATTTACAGCTCCATCTTCTTCAGGTTCATCCCTTCCTTTCTTGTTCTGTGGTGTCTTTCAAGTAGCCCTTTTCTCCCCCATAGCCCTATTTCACTGGGAATTCCACAGGACTCTCTTCCTTAACTGTTGTCTCGCATCTTCTCAAAATGACCTCATCAACTCCCATGGCTTCAGCAACCATTTTTATTCCAGTACCTCTCAAATCCCTCTTTTAATTCTGCTTTGGAAGGAGGAAAAGAGGTAGTAATTAAGCAGGCTGTCAGAGGCTCTCCTAACATCAGGACTTGGGATGCAAGACCTGGACATTCTCTTATGGACATTTTGGTTTGTTTATAAGATCTAACTTCCCAACAAAAGCTTCTTTTGTAAGTGCAGGTGTGCAAAATTACCTTAATCTTCATAGTACTTGGAGCCAACGCTGTAATCTCTTTCTGCATACGATCGCCAATCCCAGGATACATCGTGGTTCCTCCAGAGAGGACGTTATTAGCATAGAGATCCTTACGGATGTCGATATCGCATTTCATAATACTGTTGTAAGTGGTTTCGTGGATACCTGCAGATTCCATCCCTGAGTGAAAAGAAGTTTCAACAAGTTATTTCTCTTTGTCCCCTTCTTTTTCTTACTGCTAAAATGAAAGGAAGGCTCACTAGTCCAGAATGTCTCCCTCAAGAAAACTCCAGGGGAAAAAAAAAGCTATGTGATGCTTAGGAGAGGAAGGAGAAAGACAGGACATACTCCTCACCTTCTTTGTAATCTCAGTATAGTAATTATACAAGCAAAATACTCTTGGGAGGAAAAAAGATCCTCATTATGATTTCATACTGGCTTTTTTACTTCCTCAAGTAAAAAAAAAAAATTAACATTATTGAAGGAAAATTTTAAAATGAGGCATTACTGCAATAGTTTGCCATTTTTATAATCTTCTATGATGCTGTTAGCTAGAAATAGAAGCCCACTTGGCATTTCAGTGAGCTACCTTGCTTTTGAGGTGTTGGTTTAATTTGAAAGCCAGCACAGTGAAGTTAACTTATGGTACTATTTTTTGCTAAAGAAAAGGAACAGATACAGTCCTGGGAACACAGTTTGACCTTTAAGTACTAGACTTTTTAACTAGCTTAACATGCACATTTTGACAAAGATCTGTGATCCAGGAAACCCTGATTTCCATCGCTACGTTTCTGATACTGACCATTGTTGAGCACCAACTCTGATCCCCGACACACATCTGGCAGCCAAATCCCTCTATCTTCTAAAGAGAATTTCTCCTGCTGATGTTCAAATACAGAATATTTGAACATCACTCCTGCTGATGTTCAAATACAGAACTTGGAGCTATATTAATGCTTGAATAGTTTCCTTTCTACATACAAACGTAGCTAGCTTCACCATTTAGTTTAATGGAAATCGTGCCAAACTGCCTGCAGCCATTTTGCTCAGTCCTCAAGAGTGGAATTTAAGTGGAAAGTGGGAAATTTGTGAGGGCAGTACGAGTTACCACATAAAGTGTCAGTCTTCCACTGGAGAGAATGGGAATTTTAACACTACAGATAAAACTACTGGAAAATAATGTACAATTTGATTTTGTGTGATTAAATTACAGATTAATATAATAAAATTATAAACGGAAGCAGCATCTAGATGAAAAACCCACATAAGAAGCGCTGGGCAGTTATATATCAGCCAGTCAAGAAGAAAAGCGTGATCTTCTGACCGTACTCTAAAACATCATCTTAGAAACTCTACTGCATTTATAAGAGGTTGAAACCATCTTCCAATTCAGGTATTTCTAAACGGACAGGCATCTTTTTGCCCAGCAGCTGTAGCAGCAGTGTTCATAGCTTCTAAAAAACTGATTCAGTCACTAGAAGCTGCATGTTTCTAAGGACATTTGAGGATAAATACCTCAGTTCCTACAGCTGAAGGCTGTCTATACTTCCTAAGAAATTCTTCTTTTCATTCTCTGTCAAGTCCCTAGAAAGAAAAGTTCTGTCCCACCTATGAAGGATGGCTGGAAGAGAGTTTCTGGGCATCGGAACCGTTCATTCCCAATGGTGATGACTTGTCCATCGGGAAGCTCGTAGCTCTTCTCAAGAGAGGAGGAGGACGCAGCAGTTGCCATTTCATTTTCAAAATCCAAAGCCACATAACAAAGCTTCTCCTTGACATCTCTCACAATCTCCCGTTCCGCTGCAGACAGCCAACAAGTTTTTAATCAACATACAGTATGACAGCCAGGACACAGATTTTCTCATGCACGTTTCCCCAAGTTCATGACGGTCATGGTTCATTGGGTTTTGACCTCTCTGTTGTCTCAGCAGCATGACTTCCCATTTGCGTTGCCAAATTTCCCTCATCAGCAAATAAAAGATATATTGTACTACAGAATACTGTAAAGATAAATGTTTACATGTTTACATCCCAAAACCTTGATCAAATCTCCAGAGGTTCATCCATTACCAGCTCCTAACTTTGTTCCTTTGTCTGTGGAAGAGGTATGATCAAACACAACAACCAGTTATATTTGTCAGTGACTCCAAATTTCCTAATGAGGTGGCATCCTCGTCCTTAATGCTCAACATATATGCTGGGAGCCAAAGTCAGGAAAACCCCATTAGCTAACACGAAGTGTTTTGCCCAGGCCAACCCAGCGATAGGGATTTTGATGCATCTCGCCAGGTACACGCTTCCTGCATAATAAGACAACTAAGAGAGCAAACGTATGCAAAGTGCATCCAAAGCACAGCTCGTTACCAGTGGTGACAAAAGAGTAGCCTCTCTCCGTAAGAATTTTCATGAGATAGTCAGTCAGGTCTCTGCCTGCCAGATCGAGTCTCATGATGGCGTGAGGCAAGGCATAGCCCTCGTAGATAGGCACATTGTGTGTGACACCATCCCCGGAATCCAAAACGATTCCTGGAAAGTGAAAGAAAAGGAGAAGCTGGTTATTTCCCACTGATACGGGGTCTCCACATACTCCATATTCTCAACTGAAACATGCAACAACAAATAAAGATGCTCACGTGGCAACTGCTTCTGTCATTTCTATAATTAAAGAGCTGCTCATGTGAGACGAAATGGCTAGCACAAACTAAGCAGCAACTGTGTTTGGGGAAAAAAGACATGTAACGTTCAGCAATTTGATTGTATTGTTCTTGCTGAACAGATGCTAGCAATAATGATCTTACATGGACGCAAAGGCTTTCATTTCAGACGACCCCTAGCACTTTACAGACATGATATAATGTACAAACTGTAAATAAAAATCTATCTATAAAATTAAAAATTTGAATCTGCCATTAAAATAAACTACCCCATTAGGGAAAATATAACAACGGTTCATCTGTGCACAGCCATGTTATTTACATCCTTGGATAGGAAATTAAGTACATGTTTTCCCCTCAAAATGAATAAAGCATTTCTGATACCAAACACGCATACAAATAGTTGAATTTTAAATATAAAACAAGTATTTATGACAATTGTAATTCCTGTAAGCTGACGATCTTTATACAAAATTTTATTGTGGCATCAGGCGACAAAGACAGATGGTATTTTAATTTTTTTCAAAGTATATGAAGACTCAAGCGTTGCTAAGAAGTAATTTATCGTCTCAATGCTTGGTCAGACTCCAAATGGCAATAAGAAGGGACCTCCATGCTAATTCTAATGATCGCTTAACAGCAGACATCATTAGGTGATTGAAATTCAACATTTAAATGAAATATTTTCATTTAGCTACTGAATGTTTGTGGGTTTTTTCTACTGGGAATGGAGCTTAACAATAGAGGTAGGTCTAAAGTAAGAAGGAACCGTGGGGTTGGAACAATCTAGTTAAGATACAGCCTCTTCTCTATGCTGTGCAATTAAGGGCATACCGAACTGTACCGTCTTTCATCTGTTCATATAGTTGAGCTATAGTCCCTTGAGCTGTTGAAGCAGAAAGCCATAAATCTACACCCATACCTGCCACGGAGCTGAAAACAACAAAGAGGCACCTGCACAGCGTGGTGGGAGTATTCTGTTTGCATATGGCTATCGGTTCTCCCTAATACACGGCCGGTGCATCATAATCGACATGTATCTGTGTTGCGTATGTGCATATACATCCACGAGAGAAGGACACGTGGAAAGTACAACTCCCAGAAAGACTCACCAGTTGTTCTTCCAGATGCGTACAGAGACAGCACTGCCTGAATTGCTACATACATGGCTGGCACATTGAACGTCTCAAACATAATCTGGAATGAAGAATTTGAAAACCTTTATGATCTACACTTAAGAGTATCTGAAGAGACGGTAATTTTTTTTTTTTTTTAATGAATACTGCCAGTTATACTCCCAAGTCCCCTCCTGAACTGTTGTTCTTCTGTGAACAGCACACTATGTTTTCTTTAGGATTTCATTTAAAAAAAAAAAAAATATCACTGAAGTCAGTGGATATCTTTCCATTAACCTCAGACTAGGTCAGATTTTTACTGGTAATATTAATTGAAGACAACACCTTGCGATAACTTTGATACCCTGAGGGCAGGATTGCAAAAATGCAGCAGTCTAAGGTATGTGTATATATATATATGTATATATGTTTATACACACACACACACAAATTTATAGAAGACACAGCTGGAAGAAGCCACGAGGAATAATCTGTCTACTCCCATCTCAAGGAAGAATCAGCCATTCCTGACACAGCCTTGGTTCTCAGAAATTCCTCTGCTGGAGCATCCACAGATTCCTCCAGCAAACAAATCTAGCGATACACTATACTTACTATTATCAGGGTTTCTTTGGCGTCTAGCTAAAACCTCACTTGGTCTAGTTTTAAACTCATCCAGCAAACACAACTGTTTATTTTCTCTCTTTATGGCAACCTTAGCCATATTCTCTTGTCTCATCCCCCACCTCCTCTACTCTAACAAGCTCCAGTTCTTTCCATCTCCTGTGTCAGATACACTGCAATTTTATCCGAGCAGATGGAATAACATTTGTTTCCAGCTGGACTTCCACTGGAGCTCTGTTAGGGAAAACCATTAAGGACACACAGTGAACTAACGCTCTGGACAGCCCCGTGCGCTGTATCCTTTCTTAAACCAATGGCACCCACCCCAGGCAGCGCTACCCCATCACTAGCGGTGCTGCTGTGACCACGTTTCATAGAATCATAGAATCACTTAGGTTGGAAAAGACCTTTAAGATCATCAAGTCCAACCATAAACCTCACAGGGCCAAGTCCACCACTAAACCATGTCCCTAAGCACCACGTCTACACGTCTTTTAAATACCCCCAGGAATGGTGACTCAGCCATCACCATTGTACTCGTCAGAGCCACTGACATCAAGGGGTTAAACTTAAACTTTGGATTTCATAAGCTAATACCTTTGCCAATGAAGTCTACTTTTAATGAAAAGTATGCTTTCAATTAAAGAATACACGAATTACCGATATTTTGTAGTTAATTAATGTAATGAATTTAATGCAATCAGTAATAAACAATAAGCCTTTAAACAATTGAAAACAGGATTTATCATTACAGTATAATGACAGAGAAACAGTCCTGGACATGTCTACTGTAAGAACCACACAGTTCCTGGTTGTTACAAACTCGGCTTTTCTTACGGTCTGTTATCGTTTATTATCTCCCAGTTGTATTATCTCCCAGTAATGCGTGCTGTCAAGCTCACTACTTAATTAGTTTATTTACACTGTTGCTAAATTGATGCATAATCTTCCTATTAAATATATGCCAAAAGTGGGCACAAAGGGAAGTGCAGAGCCACATCTAATTTTCCCAGGTGATTTTATACCTATATCTGTATTTAAATCGCCATTACGTCTGGTAACATCACTGGCTAAATTTGTAACGTGGACTTTTGGCCAGAAGGCTGCTCTAAAATATACCAACTTCAGAGGCTGACTTCTGTTCTGACCTGAGCTTGCTAGATCAGACTGGGTATGTCACAGACAGAAACGTTTAGCAAAGCATCATTTGAGTTTGAATGCTTCAGACGACTCATTTTCCCAAGCCAGCACAAACGCTCCAGTTTTTGAACCTTTTCCCCTGGTCCCTGAAGAGGTGCTCCAGTTGGGAGCTCCACAAAGTCATCTGCGTGATGGCCTTCAAACATCTTTATTCAAATCTTCCAAAAAAACCCGCAATTCTGATACAATAACTAGAATTTTATCTGATGCAGAAGTGTTGATAAAGTGACAGTCTTCAGGGTAGAAAGCAGGAGCTGGTACAGCACGAGCTGAGGAGTTGGGCTACTACAAGTTGAGCACTCTTGGTGGCCAGAGGTAGGCTCGTGAAAGGCATCATTGATCCAAAACTCACACAGAAGTGTGATTCAGCTGTACATGACCCATGTTACAGCGCTTGCAAACCTCAGATTTAAATACATCAATGACTCGTAACTCCATCCAAAAAATTACATGAATCCTGGGTTGACGTTGTCTACACACCGAAACTCGGCATCAGAAGCCACCTTAGCCTCCAGCTTCCCCAGTTCCAGAACCGAGCACACACAGAGTCTCGTGAACAAAGGAAATTACTTCAAGCTTTAAGAGGCTAGTTCCATACGTCTCACTGACACATACAACTACAAAACATTTCAGGGCCATCCAGAGAACTTGCGCGAGCAGCAGAAACCTTTGCTCTCTCACCATGGCTCAGCCAGCATGCTAACCCACGCTAACCCTTAAGGCATTATCTCCCAGATTAAGAAGAAAGTTGAATACCCAGGACTATTTATATTTATAGCTGCTGCTGTGCAGAAATGATCTGCGGCACAACATTCAGACGATTACCTGAGTCATTTTTTCACGGTTGGCCTTGGGATTCAAGGGGGCCTCGGTCAGCAGGACGGGGTGTTCCTCCGGCGCAACCCGGAGCTCGTTGTAGAAAGAATGATGCCAAATCTAAAAATGAAAATCGCTTTAGGAAAGTGTTCTGAAAATCATTTCTTCTGTCCACAGAACCACACAGAAAGCTTTTCAATTTTTTTTACAGACATATTAAAATAGACAGAAAGCATGCAAGAGCAAATCTGCCAAATTCAACTCCAAATTAGAACCAAAACCATGGAGTTTCTACTGTATGTAACAACAGAATATAACCTCCACAAAGGAGTCCTTCCAGTGAGGATTCCCTAAACAGAGTATAGATCGTCCTTTCTCAGCAGTTAGTTCTGGGCAGTTCCCACCCCAGTGCTCTGAGATAGAAGCTGAGCCAAGCGCTGAGTTGTGAGACCCGGAAAGGCTTCTCCACTTCAAGCTGCTTGGAGACCGATCCAGCTGCAAGTCATTGCCAAGATGCTCTTTAGAAACCTAATTATTTCCAGGGAAGCGAAAGGCCCTTCATGCCACAGATATTTCATCCAGTAAATCCTGAATCGAACTCTCTCTTACTATAGAGGAACTAAATTTCTTAGTCACAGTCTGTAAAGTACTGTCGTATTTTTTCACATTGGAAGGTGCTACCTGTATCAGACGACGCGGGCTTTGATTGTCTGAGGACTACGGCTGTGAGGAACTGAAGGGATTTTTTTTCTTGATGCCAGCTGAAAGACAGACTGTTCAGTAACATGATGAAATATTTCTTTTCTTCTTGTTCAATTCTTTCCTACCTTATTTCTTTTTTTTTCTATTTTTAATCATATTCCAGCTTTGCCTGACCCAACAAGTTTACTTCTGAGCACAAAACATCAGGATAGTTTTATGGGTAAGTTTATTCGATTAATATCCTGGAAGCAAGTACTGGTATGCTCCAAAATGAACTGAAGTAGAAGAAAGATCTTACCTAAATCCGAAGCACCTACAAAGTCAATAGCTGTTCAGAGCTGGAATTATTAAGAAAATTATCAGCCCTAAAAAAAATTTCAGTTCCATCTCAGTCCTCTAAAAAGAATTATCAGATGTTTCCAGAACTGGGGCTTGGGATGCCAGGCCATCTTCCGTTTGAAGGTTTAGAATACAAATACAGGGAGAAGTCGAATAAAACAGAAAGTAATCATGTGAAAGTTAAAGATGTAAGAAGAAAACGACTGGCATTTCAGATAGGAAAGAACTAAAGGAAGAGAAGGAAACCTCTGTGCTTACATAATTAACAAAGTACTGGTGATTTCAGCAGCGAGGAATAAACCTGGACTCATAAAGCAGGACCCTGCCTAAACCTTGGGCAGTTTGCAGGTTTCTCCTCAAAACCAGGCTGGATTAGGCACTGTACAGCCCATTAGATACGACCTAATGATAACCGTAACGTTAATGGATAATGATATTCTACAAGAAACAAAAATAGCTCAGTCTTGGATTTTATAGGTCACGAGAATTAAATGTAAGCAGCAAGCACAATAGCAAAGAGAAATTACTGAGGAAGAATTATTCCAACACTTGTATTAAACATTTATGTAGTCACCAGAGCCAGAAAACGCTCCATCCCAACACTTTCCCTGCCATACGTTGTCAGCTCAGTTGCTGTGAACAAACGAACAGTGATGTACAATGCCCCGTATTATTATCCAGCGGAAAACAGAGCAGTCCCAATTTGAATATTGTGAATTGAAGCACAGGAGAAGAAGAATGCTTCATTTCATCGCCGACGTGTTCTCCTCCTCCATTCACACGAACGTCTGTGGGTCCTGCGGCATCCTTGCTCTCGCTCCCTCTCGCACACATGCACGCTCAGCCTCAGATTTTGGTGACCCCCCCCCCCCTTTTGTAACGCATGGATGGTTGGGCACTGCACCACGATGCCTTTGTCCCATTTTTGGCACGTTGCCCAGTAGTTCTCTTGTTTCTTCTACATCGTGATGCTTTTAGTAGTGTGATTTCCAAGCATTGGAAAGAAATCCGTGGTTTGGATCAAAATCACGCAACTGGTTTAAAAATCTTGGGGGGGGGGGAGGGGGCGGCAGGAAATATATATGCATATTCAAAAGATATTCCCTTAGCATCAAAACTTTAGGAATTGCATTTCGGAACTTCTCTCAGCCATAAGTGTGTGCACACGTGTGTACGTGTGTGTGTGTTACGTTGACATATATGACTGAATCAGGGAAGCCCTGATATAAAAAAACCACCCATGCTTTTTTTCTTATTTGCAATAATCACAAAAGTTAGCAACGCTGTTTCTTGTCTCTGCCCCACCGCTGCCTTTCTCTCATGCTTCTTTTTTCTATTTGTTGCTCATTCACTTGAAAGCCGCCTCCGCGTTCTGTCCCGCTCTGCTGCGGGGCTCAGCGAGAAGTCCGAGCACAGCTCAGTGTTGGGGCATCTTTGCCAGCCACGGCGTGTTGCAAGCTGTGTGTCAGAAGAAGGTAAGTTTGGGCTAGGGACCCACTTCCACAAGAAATTCCTTCATCCGTTTAAGTGACAAAGAGAAGAAAAGTTCAAACTACAAGAGCCCGTATAGTATCTGACCATTATTTGAATTACAGCGCTGCCTGAAGCCCCCACCACGTTACACCCTAAACCCAATCAATCTAGCCGTGAGTTTACACTACAGAAAAGCACATGCCACCTTTTTTACCTTCTCTAATTTCTTTTCCTAGCTACATTTTAGATAGTCTGCTCTAGCATCCAGCATTACGCAGAAAAAGAACACACACCAGTATGCGTTATACGCAGGACAATTTCCAGATGCAGAGAGCAATCGCTGAGGGAAGAACATTGGACCTCCAATTTTTTTTTTTTTTTTTTTCCTACAGGGAAATATAATTTCTTGCTGAATGCAGACAGCAGGAAAATTATCAGGAAGAACAACATAACGGGATGTAGGAGGTAGACTTTCTACTCTGCAGAAACGAGCAAGGTGTCCTCCCAGCAAGCAGTGCAATAATGAAATGCAAATACTGTGCTTCCATCTAGAGGAGTAGGTGGGCAATTTATTTCCAAATATGAATTGAGGAACTCTCATTGCTCCTGTATCGACTTTGGTCTGTTCATCTGGAACACTCTGTGCTTATCAATTTGGGTGCATGAATATGACACAATAACTGACTTTAGATATACGTATTATAATTGTATACACCTTGTCTCAGCAAGTGTGAGTACAGAACACCACCGGCCCCGTGTCTCTTTCAGTGCTATTTTCCACAGGAAAACATTACTAGAAGCATTTGCTTGTGGAGTTTCCTTCTCATACCATTCCACCTGGAGATGACAAGGGACTGGACGAGAGGAAATGGCCTCACGTTGCGCCAGGGGAGGTTTAGACTGCACATTAGGAAAAATTTCTGTACTGAAAGAGTGGTCAGGCCTTGGAACAGGCTGCCCAGGGAAGTGGTGGAGTCACCATCCCTGGAAGTATTTAAAAGACAGGTAGATGAGGTGCTTAGGGACATGGTTTAGTGGGTATGGTGGGGTTGGGCTTATGGTTGGACTTGATGATCTTAGAGGTCTTTTCCAACCTTAATGATTCTGTGATTCTATGAATTGCAATCCTGTCTTTAAAGGATACGTACAATATTTCCACATACAGACTCAGATGCTTCCTGAGCAGACCAGGACATACGGGATATCAGGGATATTTGGCAGAGTGAGAGAGCCCTTAGGACTCCTCCTGCCTCTCCAGCCTCCCCCATGAGCACACCTCACCCTGTCCCTGCTCTGGGACATCCTTAAGCGGGCATTTCACAAAGAGGTCATTGCACTGACCGCATGCCAAGAAAGTCGGGCTTGATAGGGAATGAAGATGCCTTCTCGCCATCCAGACGTTAAAAGCTAACTGGAATTGGCAACAGAAAAACATGCTTCAGGGAAAAAAAAAAATCCCACTCTCAAAGAACTAGTATAGGGACAAGAAGCCCCAATCTGTCTTTTCCTCTTTAATTGACAGTGAGAATGTCATATGCAATGCAAGATGCAGCCATCGCCCATCGTCTTGTTCATGTAGGCAAGTAGTGAGGAGGGAAAATCACCCCTCCACCTCAGAGGTTTTGTTCCCAACTTAAGTAGTGTATCTTTAATATTCCAATGATTCACCTCTGATGAATCGCAGCCTGGTTTTTTTTTTCACTTTAGCTACTCTCTATCACTGTCAACCATTCTGCCTCAGTATGAACTTCAAGACCAAAACCAGTATGTATAAAGCATAAAATATTTTTATAACATACTGCCAGATCTGATGAGTAATAAGCATTTACTTTTTCAAAGATAGTCACTCTAGAAGTACCAAGACCTGATCAACTCCTGCACTAACATATCGTGCTATCCCGTTACCTGGCCTGCAACTACAAATTCTTCCAGGATTTTCCTTTTGGTTTGCAAGAAGGTTAATGGCAAGTTGTATGTCTTGGATAAGATGATGCCTCAACAAAATTACATTAAAAATAAACACCCACCTTTTCCATGTCATCCCAGTTAGTGATGATTCCATGCTCAATGGGATACTTCAGCGTCAGGATTCCTCTTTTACTTTGTGCTTCATCCCCTACATAGCTGTCTTTTTGACCCATTCCAACCATAACACCCTGCAAAGTATATTATTCTAATATTAGTGCAGTATATCACGCACATTAGAGATAGAATAGCATTTTTAAGTTAAAACTTAGTATTTTACCCACTACTGCTACTGCCGTTCCAGAACGTACCCTCAAAATGTGCAAGGAACCAAAATGTGAATTTATTGGTAACCACCTACTCTGTACCAACTCCCCCTTATCAACCCACCAGGAAGGGCAAGGCAGCTTCGGAAAGGAAGGAAGGTATCTCACTGGGTGCAACTAATGCCCGTGCAGGAGCCCAGCCAAGGCAGGCATCAGCAAACTCATGGGTCTCCACAAGGGATGGGTCCTTCATCATTGCACAACGGAGTAAAAGGAAGGAATTATAGGTGGAAAAGATATAATCTCCCTGGATTTACTTTATACATTTGGTTGCCCTTTCTGTCTAGGCAGTTCCACTATTGCCTCTGGACAGTGAGATTCCCCCTTGCTGGAAGTGAAATGGTTTTGAAAAATATACATTTTGCAAAAAAGCATTAATTTATATAAAACAGAGACAGATTTTCTAAAAGAAAACTCCCTTATTAAATAATAGTTTTACTAAGTTTATCATGCTTGCATTAGGAAGCCTATCATGATTGCCCCAAATAATATAACAACATATGAGGTAAAATATTATTCATCAACTAGCATAGAAATATTTCATTTTTCTCATGGATTCATTAATTCCATGGGTTCATTAATACAGCTGCTGAGCTGCTTAACTGTGCAAAATTACATGCCAAAAGACAATGAACAACTTGAGAGGTTAAAGAATGGACATTTTCAACAACTGATACTCAACTTCAACAATTCATAGAGGTGTTCAAAATGCATTCCTTAAAATGCTTAGTATTTTACGCCTGTCAAACCAGGCTTATTTAGCTCAGCAAAAGACCACATAGAACTTCAGGGAAGGGTTTTTATAGTCCAGAAAATTAAAATCTGACTCAGATATTAATAAAATGAACAAAAATCTGCACCTTCTATTTGTAAAGGAACTGTTAAAAAAATAATTAAGCAGAAAGACCCTTTCCGAGGTCAAGAAAAGCCACATTTATCCTTTCCAGTCCTGTTTGAGTTGATAAAGTGATGTGCTAGAGACCTTTTCTGGAAGTTTATTGGGCTATACTGTTGCTTAGTGAAACAGTAAGAGTAACTTATCACTATTATTCATTTGGTTTCTCATGCTGGAAATGTTCTGCTTATCTTTTTTTCTTTGTATTAATACAGCAAGTATTAATTAATCCAGCAAGTTGGGTTGGTTTTTTTTTTCTATAAGACACCTTCATGTCATTAAAATACTCATGTTCTCTTATAGTCAACATTTTATGGCTGAAGAACACCTTTTCCAAAGGATAAGTAAGTTTACCTCACAGTATTAAAGATGTGCAGCTCAATCCTCCAGACCTTACAAGCTAAACCACAAAGGCCGATGGGAGTTTTGCCTGAATAAATCTGATGCTTTATCACTGCCATGTCTGAAGCCTCAAAAAACCCCACAAAAACCCAAAACCAACCCAAAACAACCACCCAAAACAAACCAGACAGCACTTCCATTTTGGTAGCAACCGACCTGATGTCGCGGACGTCCAACGATGGATGGAAATACAGCTCGTGGGGCATCATCTCCTGCAAACCCGGCTTTGCAAAGCCCAGAACCGTTGTCACACACAAGGGCGGTGGTTTCATCATCATCGCACATAGTGCCTCACAATTTTGGCTGCAAAACAGTAATTTGGGGGGAAGGAGATAGAAGGGAATAGGACAGAAGCAACTCTCCATCCTTTAGAGAGCAAACTACTGTAAAAAGAGTAATTTTGGAAGAGAATAAACCTAAACAGCAAAGTCTATGCTAAAGCCCCGATCTTGCAAAGCACATTAAGCATCCACATAAATTTCAGCTTGAATAGGTTTTACCGAAGCAAATTAATCAGGACATTCAGCCCTTGTTTGCAAAAGGAAATCCCCTCTGCTGTAGCCTCAAGAGGTCCTGTTAACTGGCCTCGTGACCATGGGACATGTTCAGCTAGAGGATACACAGTCAGCTCTACTTGGACTTCCGCAAGCATAACCCCATCTCTTCCAAGGCTGAATTACCTTCTAGAAATTTCATTCGTTAAAAATGAATTGATCATATGCACCTCCCAGTTATAATGTTAGCGGTTAGGTGGTAACTAAGAATCACCAAACATTCATTACTTCAAAGACCGCAGTTGTTCCCTAGCGACATGTTTAAATTTGCCTTTTTCTTAGAGGGTCATCGTCAATCTTAAACAAACAACTAAAAATAACCCCCACAAAAAGTTTCAGGGAAGCGTTTGCTGTGTGTTTTTAAAGGACAGCTCCTCTGTAATGTGAAGTGCTCACCAGAGGACCTGTTCCATATCTGTAAGTGGTAAATACCTTATTGAAGTGGTTATTCTGGGAAACAGAACAAGAGGCAGCTGGCACAACCGCCGGGAACAACTCGGCTTCAGCAGTTGGCCAACACATCAGACGAAGTCCTGAACTCATTGAAATTCATGGCAAAACTCCCACCGAGGGAGGGCCTGAATTTCACCAAGACTTCTGTTTCGGATTCCTTGGTTATTTTTAGGACTGTACGATTGCCTCTTTAGGCAGTCAAGGAGAGGGAAGGATTTTCTTTCTCCTTCTCTTGCACTTCACTTGGTAAGGAGGGGTACTTCAGAAATGGGAAAGGAATGGAAAACAGCACTTCTCCAGCAAAGTTCTGGTCCCTAACAATGCAAAAATGTATTAAGCATCATTTCTGCGATTAAAGCAAAAATGTATTTGACTTCTGGTGGCATCACAGTTCCACCTGAGTGCTCTGGGCACAGGCCAGGAGCGGTGGCAGAACCACCACCAGCATTAGGGTCCACGCTGCAACCAATTCATGCTGCCCTGTTTGTGGGCTTCAAAATATCTCACGCTCTTCAGAGGATCCCTGCAAGAATACCGAAGTCCCTGGAGATTTACAAACAGGAACAGTTTTGGTTTTTAAAGTTTGAGCTGCATGAAGTTCCTGGTGTTCAATCCCTTCCCATATGCTTTACAAAGCAAGGCTGTGACATGACTGATCCCAAGGCTCGCAGGTGAAAAGGAAGCATAATTCAAAAATATGACATTATTTTAAATAAGAAAAATAATTTTAATTCTTCTTGACGTGCCTGTGACTGGAAGATTCTTTTTCACATGAGGAAGCAGAATAATTTTATCACATAAATTTGCTAACAGCTTTAATAGAGGAATGTTTAACCAGTAGTTCTAACAGCCAGTATTTTGGAACATTCATTCATGTTGCCATGAATTGTTATTTTCTTCTAAAACCCTCAGGAAAAGGCTTTTAGAATGCAATAAACCAACCATTTACCAGCAGCATCCAGCATTGCACACCCAGACTGACTCCACCAATGTGAAACAAAAGGAAACTCACTTCTTAAATACATCAGAAATGACATCAGATACTAGAATTCAAGAATAATTTTAAAGCAGAGAAACGCAACAAAGCTGAGAGCTCAGCATCACTCCTTGGCTCTAAAGAAGGCTGGATAGGACCAAGACATTTAATACTCCATGGCAAGAAATAATATTCCCATTCATTCACATACACAGCATTTCATATATAGCTTTACACGTAAAACTAAGGTCAGTACAGCCATACTCAGAGAAACAAAATTCATAGGGAAACCCCCGCTGATCTGTACCGGTTACACTTTGGGGTGCTGGCAGCAATTGTTCACACTTCTATCACTATTGATGAGATTCCAGAGAAGCCACTGACACTTACTAATAAAGCCAACATCTGAATTTGTTCATTTCCTTTTTTTTTTTTTATTATCTCGCTTTGCTTATCATCAATTACAAGGTGAATGAACTGATAAAGAGCACTACTTAAAATTTTCGTTGATTGAGCCATGTTACTGCTTTACAGCTGCTGAATGTATAGGTTTAATAATCATTTTCACAAAGCAGCTGTTTGGAAATCTTTTCACCAGATGAAGTTCCTAAATAAATTTCCTAAATTTGCTTTACTTTTAGTTTCAATTTTTATTTTTCTAATTCCCAACGCAAAATTAAGTAAAATTAGCAGAGAACTTCCTTTTGGTTTCTGCAAAAGGCCTGATGTCCAGACAGCAAACACTGTTGAAGTGTTGTTCTAGGCTTCAGCTAGACTAAGGTTTCATCGTACACCACTGATCCTTCCAGCGATAAGGAACGTCTGCACGTCTCCCTGCAACCATGCAGTCAAACCTGAATTACCTTACACCAAGAGACCCTCTGGAATTCCTCCAAAGAGGCAAACAGCATCCAAGTCCAGGAAGAAGTGTGTAAATCCCCAGAAGATCTCAGACCAAGTGAAGCTAAGCATCAAAATAATGAACTGTAACATGAAAAAACTCTCAGGGCAATACTTACCCAGGAAATGGTGATGATTTGTAAAAGCCTCTTTGTAAATGACATGATCTCACCTTCCATTACATTTATATCAGCTTCTGGAATGGAGTTCACAGGATATCTACACGTGTCGAGCCATTTTTGGAAACTTTTTTTTCAGTTTGTGCTTATCACAGCGACAGCACAAAGGCCTGGATAAATTAGGGCAGAATTTCTAACATCTCTGGATCCTTTCCCACTCGCTAACTTGCTATGCCTCATGACAGAGGATTGTTTTCTCCCCTCAAGACAAAAACCCCTCAGACTAGATGACTGGAAGGATTTGTAGGTTCACTGTTGTAGTTGAGAAGCATTCTGCTTCATTATAACACAATTAGCTAAGAATAGCTCATTATCATTCTGTTAACACCCATCTTCAAGTTGCAAAGGGAAAAGTCTTACCATGTACAGTACTCATGGTTCAACTTACCTGGTGTTTGTGTGGCACAAAGACTGAAAATAGCTGACTTATCTCAGTACGTGGGTGACACTACGGCTGAAAACGGGGACTGAATCAGCAATCAGCCATTCAAGAGAGATGAGCCATTTGACAAAAAAAAAAGACATCAATTATATTGGAATATGTTGGATTTATATAGAAATCCAGACCTTTACTAGACTAAGAAATATTAAAGAACCATCAGAAGAAGAAAGTTTACAGGATTGACCTACAGTGGTAACTACGGCTGGCAGCGTTTCCCATTCCACATGACGAGAACAAGTGATGCAGAACGTCAGATACAATTTGGTAAACGTTAACTCTGCAAATGTAAATGCCAACCACTCTCTCCCTTACCTGCCACGCGACCGCGCAGCAGACCTCGCGTACAAGAATCCTTGGACCCTAAGCAGATAATTCACTTCGCTAACATCTCTTCAAAGTCAATCTTGTATCTGCCCATCAGTAAAACTGATGGAATCCTTCCATTTCCACGCTCATGGGGTTTTTCTTTTCCCACGAGATTTTCAGGATTTTAGTCTAGCAAACAGGAAATCAAATGGCTACTCCTTTTTTGTGACTTTATGTCTACTCCTTTAGACTCAGCTTGTTTTGATTGTATCTCCATTTTATACAGATGTGAGCAGAAACACAGAGAGAACAAACACCAACAAACAACAATACAGGGTGTGAAAACAACATTCCAACTTCCAGTGGCCACAGTCTTCAAAAATAAGCTATTTTTTGAATCAGAGAAATAGTTGTGCAGTTTCAGAGAACATTGTAACAAAACATGGATGTATTAACATGCAACGCATAACACTATTACGTGTCTACAGAAACGGAACACAAATCGTCCTTCTTATAGGCTCTTAGTTGGAAATGTACCCTTTATTCATTTGTATCTTGAAGCCCAAACACATAAAATACGTAAGGTTGTGTCTTTATAAGCTTGAATTTCATGTGTTGAGCAGCTGAGTAACATTTTACCCCTAAGATAGGCAGTAACGAAACCCACCAAGACAAGAAGTGCAAGTGAATTAAAAAAAAAACCCATACAAGTTACAGAAATTGCACCTTTAAACAACAGTAAAGGAATAAAAGAAGTTGAAGACATTTCTTCATGTCATCTCAATTCTGAATCTTTACTGAATATTTAATCATCGGCTTACCTCATTACCACATACATATCTGTGCACCTTGTCAGAGCCATTACAGATCGTGTGGCCAAAGAAAAACCTTCTTAATTCTTTTATTTTCAGCCAAAAAAACCCAAACAAACAAAAAAAAAACCCAGTAGTTCTTCCTTTATTGCACCCTGTAAAACTTCTTGTTATAATCAAGAAGCCAATAAACAGTAATAGCTGAATATTCCTTTAAAATTTATATTTTAACTCTTAAAATAAAATTTATATAGAAAAGATATCATTTACAACCCATTCAGTAGTAATCAATCATTATGTACTCACAAACAATATTAAATAACTTGTATGCAGCAGTTTCTTTATAGGACAGAAGGGAATATTTTTTCCTTAGCAAATATAATATTCCACTGTTAAAGAGCAATTCAAGTCAACTTTGGAGCAACTGTGATATACACAAATTTCTTTTAAGAAGCTTAAGATTCATGTAGTGTAACAAGAATATATACAACTGTGTCCAGTGCATAGCTTAACAGCAGCATGTGAAAAGTCTATTATCTTGAATTGGCACACCATTACCTACCGGGAAATAGTTTACCCATAAAATGCAGTGTATTCAGAGAACACCAGTGAGGCACAGTAAAACAACAAGATGTAGTGTAACTAGGTATGTGAGGAATAAATAGCGGGATTTTGCTCTGGAGGTCAGCAGCT